CACACATGGGACGTTAGCACTGTCATCGTCAAAGTTGTGGACAACGACAGCAACGAGATGATGTACATCGACCCTCAAATGTACACACTGAACGACAGATGGTCTAGACATGGAGATATGGTATACCAATACGCACATTGCTTAAAGAACAATCTAGAAAAAGTGAGAGAAGTTAATTGGCATTATCCATCGAAGGTTTTGTCTAGAAACATTTCTATATACGTCGATATCTGGTGTTCAATGAACGGCAGGTTCGTCCAAAGAATGTTTGATTCGAAGGTGGATTTGTTGAAGACGTCGTGGTCCCCGTTTTGTAAAGTTCCATACTTGATGCCTTTGTTAGATGAGGCGATACATTGGAGAAAGGATATGGACGACATTCGGAGCGACGTCCATTCCTGGAGTGAACATAGTGATGTGGTCTTCTTTGCTGATTTTCCAGGTTGGTATAAGATGTTACTGTTTTTAAATCTAGTTCTTTAATGAACCTTCAACCTTAGCAATAAGATTGAAAACCTATCGAAATAAATCAGGGCAGGGTTTGATGATGGCACCCGTATGTTAATTGCGAGGATTGAAACAGTAAAACAAAGAATTTTACTTTCAATATTAATATCTGTCTTTTTTATGGTATAAGCCAGTCAGCGAGCAGACGGATCACCTGATGGTCAGCGATCGGCGTCGCCCATGGACACTCGGAATGCCAGAGGCGGTAAAAAAGGCCAATACTTTACCGGCCTTTTGGGGATGAGGAATTTGAGAAAAGTCAGGAATTCAGAGAGATTGGACAGGGGGGGGGATAGTTGGGCTTACGGTAACCACACTCACCCAACCACTCGTGAAACAACGCAAGCGTTGTTTTACTTGTCGGTTTTCCGTGAGGCCGTGGTATAACTCCGGTCGAACCGGCCCAGTCGTGCCGAAGCATGGCTCTCCTACACTTAAAAATGTAGACTTAGACCTCGGTTAGGATTAGTAACTAAAAATATAAATCTTTTAGTAAACATGACTTTCCAAGGTGACTATAATATGTCATACATAATAAAAACTTCCGTCAATTGGTAAATTATAGTTTGTATATATATATATAACACGTGACAAACACGTGACACACACCAATGTGTTGTATGCTACAACTACTTAACTTATAGGTAGCTAAAAGTAACCTAAACTGCTGGGAAAATATAACAATAAGATTACCTACTTATGAAAAATTTTGTATAAGAAAGACATGTGAAATATATATATCTCTTTATTTTAAAGGACATCTCACATTGTCATATTAAAAGGTCAAAAGGAAGGTCTTTCTTTGTTTTGTTGTTGATAGACTTTAAACTCTTGATAGGATTACCCAAGCATTAATCGGCTTATTAAATTCTCAAAAAAAAAAATTCGAAAATATCTGTAGGTATCTGTCCGACTGGTACCAAGCCACGCTGGGGGCTCATGATTATCAGCAGCATTACATAGCCCGAAGAGCATAAATAATTCGGTGTATATTATATGGTGGACATTCTACCCATTCGCACGAAACGTTTCGCGTCAAACTTCCTTGTGCAAACCGCTAAGGAATGGAGTTCTTTGCCGAAATCTGTGTTTTCCATCAAATATGACTAGGTGTCTTCAATAACTATCGTGAGACATACTAAACTAACTAAAATCACGGGTTACTCACGTGATTATACTGAGAAAAGCTCTACTACGCGACGTCGCACGCGCTGCTCATGAGGAAGAACCCCTCTGTGGTTCAAAACTAGTAGAGATTTTTTCAATATATTCACGTGAGTAACCCGTGATTTAAGTTAAATGTCTTCAAGTCCCGAGTGAACAGGTTGCTCGTAGGTAGGCGTGCTCCATCGTCAGCTAAATCATCGCTTACCCACCAGGCGAGATGTAGGCCAATTGTCTATCAGAGGCCTTAGTACGAATTTCATTTACGTTTCAAGTATTCGTGACGAGTACGCGTTCGGCACTCTGATTGGCCGGCGCCAATGAACCAACCAATCAGAGCGCCGAACGCGTACTCGTAACGATTACTTTAAACGGAAACCATACTCGTACTAAGCCCTCTGGTATGAAAAATGTGCTACAAATAAAAAAAAATAACAGCTACTTACAAAAGTCAAAAAAGTCAAAAGTCAAAATCATTTATTTCAATTAGACCAGGAAGGCACTTTTGAACGTCAAAACACAACTGTTTACTATATATAGGTATTCATTTCTTTTCTACAGGTTACGACCAAGAAAAATACATTCCAGAAGACTTGCAAAACGTCTCTCTAACTATTTTAGAAGGTGACGTCGTCTTCGAACCCGAGGTGACACAACAACGCATAGGACAGTCCTTCAAATTGGCTAAAGGACACCGCATCCAGATCATACCGGGGACGTTCCATAAAGTCCTGAATATCGGAGAAGAACCTGCTTTTTACATGTATACCTTCTTCAACCACACCCAAGGGGATTTAAAAGAATTGACAGCTAATGTAAAATTACCTATTTTCAAAGAATTGTTCCGAAGAATGTATAACATGTACATTTTCGGTGATTTAGTAGTCAAGAATATATTTCAATTGTTTAAATTTTCTCAATGTAGTTCATAAATTGGTATGTATGTAGAACGGCACGAACCATGGCCAGAATTTCCATCGTGTATTTTTAAACTAGAAAAAAGAAGGAGATGTCTCGCATTATTTCTCACTACATAAACCTTTCTACGTTAACTTAGTTACTTCCTAATAGACGTGAATAAAACTGATGCCTTTAATTGAATAACCAAAAAATAACAAATAAATACACCCACGAATCCCACCACGAAATATATGGCCATGGTTCTTGCCGGGGACTACAAAATAGACATAAATAATAGTACATACAGTGTATAATCTGTATTTCCATAAAAACTCTATTAGCATTGCGAAAATGAGTAGGTACCTATTAGCACTAAGCTAAAATAATTGTTTATAAATTGTACCTATATTTTTAATGTATGTACCTACCTGAAATGTCCATTTAAATATCAAATGATTAATTTAATTACCACTATTTTTTATTGTAATTCATATTAATTTAAATGCAATATTTTAAATGCAAAATTCTCAAGAGAACATTTTCAATTTTGCTTTTTATATCCTAGGTTTTGAATATTACCTGTTTGGTACCTACCTACCTACTTATTATAGGTATACGTAACGTTAATGCAACATTAACAACATTAAAAAGTTAAACAATATTGTAGTCTACAATATTGTGTAACTTTTTAAGGTATAAATATTTTAATTATTTGTATTCATAATATTAATATTACTTAGTTCCATTGAATGATTAGTTAAAGTGTTTAAAAATAAATTGGTAAGATAACAATATAATTTATCAGAAACGAAATTTGTAAAAATAAATAATAATACACTAGACAACAAATACCGACTTTTCTTTATCTTTCCTTACCTTATTTAGTTTTTTTAGATTATCTAACGCATCCATTTCTCCTGTTTCCAATAGTGATTAGTGAATTAAGATTACTTTGCATAGAACACAAAATTAAATACATTCTGAGCTTCCATCACATTAATGCAATTGTTTTACGTATTAATTAAAGTAGAATGAGACCTCGTCTGGCGCTCTTGATTGGTTGGTTCATTACAGCCGGCCAATCAGAGCGCCGAACGCGGTATCGTTACGATCTTGTTAAACGTAGAACAAACGTGTACTAAGCCCACTGATTATTTATACGCGCACGTTGGTCGTAAACTATTTAGTTAATCACGATACAAATTAAAATTTAGGGTTCGTGTACTTGTTATTGTTAGTAAATTGATCATCCAAATAAAAAAATACGTCCTAATAAAAAACGCGCTTGATTATTTTGCGTTTTGCGTTGTGTTGTGTCAAAACTTTAAAAAAGCCGGGTCGAAAAAGCCTGTGTTGCCATCTTGCCAATATCATGGTTTATTATTTTTTTTATCACTTACTCACTATCTCTACACAGTATACCGCGATTGAAATTAGATACATATTCACGAAAAGATTGTTATAAACACGACTTCTTTAAAATAAATTAAAACACAATTTCTACATTATTGATCTCTAATTTCATATTTTTTTACTTCTAAATTCAGATCAAATGAACGCAGCAGAAAACAATGTTACCAATTCCTCAAAAACATATAAATTGTACTTTATTCTTCTAAAAATGTGGAACACGAAGATAGAAAGTTATTGCTGTGAAATGAAGTGTGTTCATTATTATGTGCTACCCCTATCATTAAGTAATAATTATTTGTGACAAAAAGTATTTGTTACATTTAGTATGTACACATTTTTAGCTCTACTTACCTCTTTGAAGATAATAATCATTTTAAATAATGTATTAAAATGGTTATTAATAAAAGAATGAGTTTATTTAATGATTAATGTAAAGTAAGATTTAAGCGGTGAATAAAGAACTAAGTACAAAACTTTTTTTTTCGTTAATTTGAGTAGTAATTTTCCGAAGAAAAACATAATTATGATACCAGAAAATTAATGGATTATTGTTATAAAAACATTTATAATTATCATATTTCATATTGATACATTTTGAAAATTAAAACTTGGCAACACTGTGTGGCGCGACGGGCGGGTTCGTCTGTCAAATAGAAAATGAAGGCGACAGCGACACACGGCGTGGCGTGAAACGAGTTCATTCATCTTTTCCTCTTGCCGCTGTGACGAGTCTAATAAGTTCGGGCTCGAGCCGACGCCTCGTCACTGCGAATAAATAGTAAAACCGAGGACTTTCCGTGATCACTATCGAAATTAGTATCAGAAAGGCAGCACGCCTTACCGCCCCTTCGAAATATTGACATTTTTAGTCATCTGTGATATAACGATACAGCGGTATCCTGTTATTCAATTTTAGGTTAAAAGTCTCATGTGATGATCAGTGCAACATTTTAAAAGTTTAAGTATTGTGCGCGCCCGTGTCTCGTGACCGGTATTGGGACTAAACTGTTAGAAACATGGAGTCTCCGGTGATGGCTTATGCTTACGATATAACGCCGAATTACTCTTACATTTTCGAATTCGAGAACGAATTTATTCATACCGACTATCGGAAATGGATGACGGAAAATTGGACTGTGGCGTTTTACTACGTGGGGGTTTACATGGCGTTCATTTTCGGCGGTCAATACTACATGCAGAACAGACCCAGGTATGTACGATATGTTTCCGTACCAAGTTCAGTGTGCCAGTGGCCCACTCACGATAATTAACTGACATAATACAGGAAATAATGTAATCTCTTACAAGCTCAACTTGTTCTGATTGCATGCTACATGCTTGCTGTTTCGTATCAGTAGTTAGTCATTTTTATATTTAGAATATTAGGCATCCTGTGTAATTTTTGTATGAGCCACATGTAAATTTTAATGAGCTAGAATATCTCGGTTGAGTAAAATATTCCATTCAAATTAAGTAGTCCAATTAATTTAATTTAGTTTTTACTAAGTAAATGCTGGGAATTTTATCTAATCAGCTAATTAATTACTTACACAAAGTTCAAATATTTAATAACTGTAATGTACCAACTGTTTAAATATAACTTTTTCTGTAATTCACTGACATAAAATACTACTATTTTATTGTATTCATGAAGTAACTAACACCCTTGTGTCAGTAGATCACAGTTTAGCAATAATTAATTGATTAAAAAAAATCATGATTCAGAAATTCATATGTATATCTTTGCATAGTAACAAGTATGAAATTTTTTACGCATAATCTTACATATTTAATATGACATTTGAATAAAATAATATTTGAAACATATTGCAAAAATATTACATGATTTAAAATTTAAATATGCTGACCATGTAGGAATCAGTTTATTTGCCAAAAGTATGTTAAAATCAAAATAGGTATAAGCATTAATATGTTCTTATTGATATTGAACTTGTAATAAGTTGTTGACAAAATAACTCATAGTTAAGTAGGTACCTAGTCAAAATTTAAATGTAAAATTAACATTTTAACCTCCACAGAATACAAAGACACTTAACTGACAATTTTATTGTGTTTACACATGAATTTTAAGTAATTTAAATTATTATATCAGTTAAACTTACAAATTTTTAATAAAATACCTATGTAATTTAACAATAATTTTGTTATTACCAGAATAAAGTTCAAGGTTATTTAGTAGAATTAGGAAATACAAAAAAAAATAGTGGTATAAATAAAAAAAATTAAATTAAATTTTTATACTTAATTATGTAAAAAAACAACTTGATTTGTGACATTAAATTGATTGTGTTTAATTATTTGTATATAATTGATATTAAAGGCTGTTAGTTGACACAATCACTTTTTCATTATTATTTTGTTTAAATTTGGTTTGTCTATCGAACACAACTCAGGAACAGCTAAACAGATTGTAATATAATCAACTATTTTAATTTAAGTACTTTATAAACATTAAAAAACAGTCAGGGGTAAAAGTAACTGTTTTCTAATAAAATAGAAATGTGTAAATGTATTCATAGAACACATTGCTAGTCATGAAGACATTGACATTGAATTATTTTCATATGAATCATTACTTTAGTCATAATACATGCTTCAAGTTTATAAATAAGCCATGAGGTGTTTTGTCAACTAAAAATTATAACATAACATAACATCACATCTTCCAACCCCGAAGGGGTAGGCAGAGGTGCACATTATACCACTGTACAATTAACACCTACTTATCACTATTTATGTTATGGTTACCCTTAACTACACCAAATTATGGTTTAACCCTTTGAGTACTGTCATTGTAGACACAATTAAAGAACAAGAGGTTGCAGTCACCGGTGTCCTCGCGGTGTTAGGCAGTTTAATTAAAATAAATGCTTCAACTTTGACGTTATTTGTCAATTATGTCTCATGCTGCTAAAAAACATATTGTGTCTTACATATATCTATGTTCTGGCCTACCATGGGTTAGTCTCCTATTATCATCACTACATAGTATAAAATAAAGTCGCTATCTGCCGCCTGTCTGTCCCTATGTATGCTTAGATCTATAAAACTACGCAACGGATTTTGATGCCGTGTTTTTTAATAGATAGAGTGATTCTTAAGGTAGGTTTATATGTATAATACATGCATATTGCACCCGTGCGAAGCCGGGGCAGGTCGCTAGTACAAAATAATTAACAAGTCTCTTTTTATTTTCTCATTCTCATATTAAGAAGTCTCATTCTTATAAAAAAAATCACAAGTTTCTCAATACTAGAAGATATGAATACAATACAGTATAAATTAGACACCTAGATGGGCAATTATCCTATCAACATCATTCATCTTAACAATACAATTTTACATTAATAATTGTGATTTTGAAATGCTACAGGAAATCTAATATAGGTACAAATAAAACCTTCTTGAATGTTATTACAACTTCAGTACTTTATAATAAAAAATACAGCTTTGTTCATAGTGACTGTCAGCATCAGATCTCATATACAATTTCTGATTATCTAATTCTTCTATTTACGGTCGGGCTCTGATTTTACGCCTAGTGTATGGGAATAGACTCCTTACTAGCGAAAAATAGTTTATAACAACATTTATTCACCTCTTCTGTGCACCAGTGCAGATAATAAATGGTTTTTGTGTCATTGTAAAACTAGTGACTGAATATCTCATGATTTAAGTCGTCATCACGCCTATGAGCAGCCACTGCTAACCAAAGGCCTCTTCTCACATGGAGAAGGTTTGAGCGTTAATTACGCTTGCTCAATAAGGCTTAGCGATTTCAAACTTATAATTAGAAATTATAAGTTGTATAAGACCAGGTATAAGACCAGGTTTCCTTACGATGTTTTTCTTAACCGTTTGTCAGTGGTGTCTAAATAATCTTAGAAAGTACTTATAACTCGGAAAAAGTCATATTGCACCTCGTGCATGAAAAGCTGACGTCTTAAAACTGCGGGCCACCACGACATATGACTGAATATAATTAACATTATTGCCACAAAAATTCTATAATTTTCAACAAAGCTATAAAATTTATAATCACTAAATTACCAGGGTATATAAGCTAAATGACACGTGCCATGTTATCAGTGAAGAGTCGCGCACGTGATTTTTATACCAAACAAGAACATCTGACGAAAATCTTACGTCTGATATCTGTCAGTGATAATGCAGATACTTTAGTGGCGTAATATTGTTGCATTCTTGAGTTATCGTCCAGAGAAAATATCACTCTGTTTATAATGGCCGTATGCAGGCCCCAGCTTTTCGCCAAGACAAGGAATGAATATTCATCACCATGGATGGTTATTCAATACAATTTAAACTAGATTTTATTGTCTCCTGATGGTGTTATAAAACAATTACCTGGAAAACATTTTTTTAAATATAACCTACTAGCTGACCCGACAAACATCATATCAGTTTTTTCTCACCTTTTAGACCTTCCCTGGACTTCCACAAACATTTCAAGACAAAAATAATCCAAATCGCTTCAGCCGATCTTCAGATATCGAGTTTTAGCGAAACTAACGAACGGAAATTCTTTTTTAGTCATATATATAGATAGATAGATAGATTAACATGATGTTACACTTTTAAATAAGAAAAGACATTACCTAGTGCACTATAATATTAATTTAAAAAGAAATATCGCAAGTAATATTGTCTAAATAAGTGCGATCGCAGCGATGGGATTGACACCGTGACAAAATGTCTACAAAATCCCTTACAATAAATGAGAAAAAAGTATGTACGATCACATGTTAAGAAAATGTTATAGCGTTCGTTTTTTAATCTATGCAGTAAACATACACGCATACAAACAGGCGTGTTTATTTTCCATCACGCGATCACTATCAGGTAAATTTACCGGCCAAGTAATTAGCTAAAATAATAATAATTATCTACAGGTTAACCTGTATGACCTGTCTTATCCACTACTGTTGTATACCACAGCGGATAATACCTATGCCACATATTATCACGCTATTTATTATTATTGTTGACCTGCTGACATTGTGTCATGTCAGATAAGGAAGAATAAAATTAGGAAGATAACGTGGTTTGATAATGGTACCTATCTTTTTTTCAATGTCTTTCTGGCAATATTAATGAAGTTTTTGTTTCTACCTCTCCGATGAACAGTTACCAGTATTTCTCCCGTGTCGATCTGAATATCAGCAGATCATACCAATATTGGATCTTTTGGGGCGATCCCCAAAAGATCCAATGATCCAGATGCGGTTTCTTCGATAAGAAACCGCATCTCGTTTATGTTAGTGTCATTACGCTGACAAAGTCAGGAAATAGGTCTAAGTTCCCTCAAGAATCTTTAATTACAGTCGTGCAAATTAAATTATTTACTGGTACTACAAAATAATTATCTCGGGCAGTACCCCAGGAACTTCTAGTTGTCTTCTCGGAGACTTGCGTCAATAGACGGCTACAAGGGATCTAACCTTTGTTCCAAGTCGGCTTGGACAACTTAATTGGCACGTTTGCTAACCTTCGTAATTAATAAGACAAAGTCATGGGCCTTACTAGTGAGTAAATAAGAATTAATTATGTTCAGCAAATATTACACAATTCTTAATGTTCTGGATTCAAAGGTTTGTTTGCACAGGAGACGCGCATAGCGTCACTCGCCAATCTATCGGTTGTTTGTATTTAATGTTAAGTAGCCAATACTTAAATACGTCATTGGTTTGTGAATTGATTGACGTGCGAATATGTTCGACGTGTATCGTACATACATATTTTAACTTTCACCGAAAACCTATTGCCCAATGTTAGCGTTGCGTATCGTTTGAATGCTGCGTATGAATTTTGATTGCCCAAATTCCATGCACCTTAAATGAAAGTACTTAGGTATATGTCCCATAATCTAAGCCTCTAATATTGACACTGGCCAATGACCATATACCGTGATCAAATCATATTAGTGAGACTACCGCATGTTGTCTACTACGTAATAACATAAAAATAACCACTCGTACTGGGACGATTATGCGAGTAATGGCGACACCAGTATCCTTATAACAGAGTGATTACCAACCGGTCTGCCGAGCCTCGTAATTATGGGGGAAATCCATATTTAGTAGTGGAAAACTACGAGCGGACGTATAAAACCATAACGCGCAAATGGAACTTGCTCCTTTTTAAATTTAAAAACATCTAAATATAGAAACT